CCGTTTCCATTCCGCTCTTCGTGATTCAACATCTATATTTAAGGAGTACATTCTTTTGAGCACACAATAAATACTGATTCTGCTGATTTATGGAGCACAGTTACAGGGTCACATCCCAGATCAATGTTTTGTCAATTAAACTGAGCAAAATACAGTTTTACAGTGTGTTCTGACTGTGCCTGTGAATACCGTTTGTTTGTAAATAGATGTGTTTTGAACAATAATAACAAAGAAATGTTTGTCTTTGCCAGGAGCATAATTACTGAACAGGAATAACATACCCATATTTGCACAGACTTGGACTGGTATAAACAATTATAACTTCACTGAGTTCAGCAAAACTTAGATTAGTTAGGGATGTGACCATTTGTCTGTGCTGTTTCCCTTAACTTCTGTTCCCCCTAAATGATGTTTAATGCTTTGCTTGTAAATTATGTTTAATGTACCTGCTTGTAGGCGTTAACTTAGAAGACCAGATTTGCGGCATTAAGGAATTATATTGGTACTGGTAAACTAAGGATGGTCAGGGCATACATTTGAGCAGTGGAAGATGACTGTGCTCTTTAATCGTTAACGCGTTCTCTGATGTGGTTGTAGCCATTGCCAACCATCAAACTACTTGGCAATGCCTGGACATGGTTTAGGGGTTAGCACAAGACGGGGACAGTTCCAGTAGTATAGATGAGACCGTTGTGCTTTGAGGGAAGAGGAGTTTAGGTGGATGGATGTGGTATGTTGTGTCACTTCCCTTCAGGGCCAGGGAGTGGGCCTGGGTCCGTTTTGCTTCCTGTGGAGCCGTTGCAGATACTCCTCTGTTAGTGCTTGATGCTCCTCCACCTTAGTGCTTGAGATCAGACTTTCGAAGGTGTTTGGGCACCTTACAGGATGCACAAAAGCACTCGTGTGGTTCTTTGTTTCTCTGGACTTGATCCAAAAGGGATGTGGGCTTTGCAGTGTTTAAGTTTTGGGTACCTTGACAGTAGGAATCTAGCATTGTAAAAGTGCCCAGGCTCCCTGTGCAGAGCAGGGGAGAATCAGGCATCTTGGAGTGTGATTAAACCCAGCTGGCAGGTGGAGAGAGAGCCCGCTAGAGCCTGTCCGTAGGGCTGGTCTGTCCGCTGCCCGGCTGGAGAGCATACTCCAGGCACATGGACGTAGCAGTAGATTACTTGTGTCCCAGTGCATCTTGCACTCATTGCCGCACAGTGGCTTCACGAGGGAGGAGAACTGTCTTTTGCACAACACGGTTGTCTCTGGACAGAGTACTTCAACTGAGCTCTGGATTTTGAAACTGTAAGGCAGGGGAAGAGATTTAATCTTCAGCTTCCACATCCTAATGATAGTTATGAAACTGCAGGAGGAGACTGAAATGTGACTTTAACTATGCTTTTAAAAGAAACTACAACCACCACTGCAGTTTACATGGAACCCCATGATGTGTGCAGCATCGTACATTATAGGTATACTCAAAACATGTATTTGGCCCAGCGCTGAGGGGGATGGGCGGACCTGAGACAAGTGCTTGGATTTTGCTTGAACTTATGACAGAGGTGCCAAGGTGCTTAGTCCTGTTGAAAGTGAGCTGTTTCCAGACACTTGCAGGCTCCCTAGTCAAAACTGAGGGTCATCCAGTGTTGGGTGTTTGGTGGGATGGGTTTTCAGGATCTCAGCTGTGGGCTTAGGTAATATTTAGGCATTTCAGGATTCAGATCCTAAACCCTTTTGTTGAATCTAATTCTCTGTGTCTCAGTTTCCTCTTTGTCATTGTAAACACTGTTTTCTCATAGAGATGTTGTGAGGGTATATACATTAAAAATTGTGAAACCTTACAAGTGTCACAGATGGGTAGAATTATTTTAGGAGCTTGCCCTGAATAACCTGTGTAATCTGGTTAAATATGTTAAGAGTTATTGTTTTTGCAGCTCTTATCATTCACTACTCACTTAAACAAACAGATTTATCTTGACTATTATCTTTTCCCCATATCCTCTTAGGCCTCTCATTTTTTTGTTTGTTTATACACTTACCGCAGATTTTAGTTCATGAGCTGTCTCAAAGAAGGACTGTAGGATCATTCTCTGTGTGATGTCTGGTGGTCCTGATTTGGATCTGTATGAGATACTGCTTCTACTAAAAAAGTCTAATTTATGCATGTCTGTACTATATTATGCTTTGAACTACTTAATGTTAGTAAAAGTGTTTTGTTTTGTTTTTTTCTGATTTGTATAGCGTTTCTACAAAAAGGCAGCTGCATTTGTGCTAAGAGCAGTTGCTAAACATTCTCCACAGCTGGCTCAGGCAATAGTTCAGTGTGGAGCACTGGAAATGCTTGTGATTTACTTGGAAGATTTTGACCCTGGAGTCAAAGAAGGTGCATCTTGGGCCCTTGGGTATATTGCCCGACACAATTCAGGTAACAGTTTTCACATGTGTGCTATACGAGAGTTATAATAAATTGCATTATTGTCATGTTCATAAATAGAACAAGATGCTTTTTCTTCTCTACTGTTACAGAATTTTAAATTTGGAATAAAAACCTACTCTAACTATACCAATCTGACAATGCTGTACCTTTTGTGGGAAACTGGCGTATCTGACACCAGCAGTGCCAGGTTATAAGAGCTGCTCTAAGAGGAGATGCATTGGGCCTGTGGCCAGGAAACGATGCTCTGCTTTATTCTCCTTCATGAAGAAATTTCAGAATCTTTATGTATTGTGTAACTGTTACTGTGGAACAAAGTTTCTTTTGCTCGACGTTAGTTCTTATTTTATATACATAGTGAAATGGAGAGAAGCGTAGGCAGAACCAAGTTTCATTCAGCTTACAGCAGTGCCTGCTGGATAAATGTGCCAAATTCATTGCACTGACCGTATTATCATTAGCCAGTAGACCACACACTTCTCTGAGTCAGGAATAGATCCTAGGAATCCGATATCGAGCAGTTCACTCCTGTCTCACAAGCAGTTGTATAACTTGCTGGCAGTGTCATGTTCCTATTTAAAAGCTGATCCACGTGGTTGATAATTCTTTTACCAGCTATTTATATAGTTCAAGTAAAAGTTTAGAGCTATGAATCAAAGAACTGAGGGAAGAGAAAGGGTGGGAAAAATGGCTTGTGTTCATATTCTTTAAAGTTAAACTTAGTCTAGGATCATAACATTAACTCATACATTTATGTTTGGTTTTGGCTCTAAAATGTACATAAACTGAATTTGGAAATTATTTTCTTAATTCTTTTTTTAATCGATACGGAGTGTTGGACTGTGGAAGGCATAGGGGATTTCCCTTTCCCACTTAGAGAGAGGGTTAACTTACTGGGACAGACTCCAAGGTGGTCAGCAACTTCCTAACAGACTGCTTTTTCTAGGGAACAAGTTAATTCTTGGGGCACCTCTGTGGTAGAGATCTTTAATCTTTTGGTCACTGGGTCTGAATCCCACCCTTGGTGGAAAATAATTGTTGCTTCCATCTGAACGATATTTGTTTAAGTGTCATTTGAAAGTGTTTGTTTGTATGAATGTGTGTAGTGTAAGTGTGTGTCTGTGTTACTCTTAACATAAACATTTCTGTAGTTTTGTTACGTCAGTAAATCAATATTGACTCACTTCAATTGCCCTTCATGCTATTCACTGCATGAATGCTGGCTGATCTTTAGGGTGATCCAGTTCACTCTGTGATGGCATTGTCTGCAAAGATGGAGGTGATGTGGGGGTATTGAAGACGACAAACTCCTTGTACAAATTTTTATTCTATGGTTATGAATTATTTATTCACTGATAGCGAATGGGTGCATGTCTCTCGTCAATTTACAGGAGGAATAAGAACAGCATTTTCGGATATTAGGTTGAAATTGTGAGTGCTGCCAAGCTGCAAGCATCAAAACAGAGACAGATTACTAGATGTAATCAGTTTAAAAAACAAAACAAAAACCCTGAAAAAATTTGTTATTCCTCTGCCCAGCTACAGCCAATTTGGGGGATTTGCCTTCCCCTCTAACACGGTCACAGGAAGTCTCTAAAACGATTACTGAAAGTAGAGGGGTTATACTGAAGCAAGATCACTCTCTGCATGGTATGTTTCTTATACTCCTACAAGCATGCCTTTGCAACAGGATATTGTTGGAGATAGGATACAAAGATAGATGGACCCAATCTTATCAACATCTGGTGTTTACTGTTCAAGAAACTCTGGATTAGATTTACGTGCTTGTGTTGAACAAAATTTGGCAGTTATGATTTTCTGTCATTGTCTGTGGACACATATTACAGCTTAAACTCTATTTTTAGAGTTGAGTGTGAAATGGTTTTCCCCACCCACAAAAGGTTTTTTCAGTTTCAAAAAATGTTTCAGTTCCAAACTGGGACAACATTAAGACAAGATTTTTTTTTCTCTCCTGAAAAGACTGAGGGGTAGGGAGGCTTATTTACCCCAGCAAGAGAAGTTCAATAATTAGGGCATGTCTGGGATGTATGTGGGAGACAGACTAAAGTCCTGATATGTCTTAGGCAGGATGTGAACCTCTGTCTCCCTGAATGCAAGCAAAGGCTCCCAGAATTCAGTGACAACTGTTTGCCATGGGAGGGTCTCTCTGTTTTTAATCAGAAATTCCATCCATGACCCGGTGAAGTTGCTCTCTAGGAACTGCAGTATATTTTCCCATGAAAAGACTTGATTTTGAGAAATCAAGACTTTTTTTTTTCCTGATGAAAACATTCTCCTTTTAGCAAGTTCCCTACTGTCTTCATACAACAATCTCTTAAAACGCAGTTCTTCTGTGAGCAGATATCTCTAGAAGACCTATGAGATTTTAGGTCAAGGCAGATGTCTCATGAGATTTCAAGACACTAGAAATCTTGCCAGGTCAGATTGCAAAATTTAGGAACAGCTCTTACAGTTCTGCTCTTTCTTGAAGATCTCTTTGAGCTGAATTTCAGACACTGATCTTACTGTAAAATACACAGATCAGTGTGCTGTAGTTTTGCCATTCATTATTTCCACTATTTGTATTTGAAAAGAAGTGTGAAGTGTTTCAAATACCATCAAAATACCATCAAGTCCATGAAAAGTATTTTGTAAATTTTCACTTATACCATATTCAGTTACTTTCAAAATGCAAAATTCTTGTGTTTGAGATATGTGAATAACAGCTTTCCATTTGCTTTGCCTGCATAAAAGGTGTAATTTATGAATCATTCCTTACCTGCTTCAGGATATTGCAAATTGGTAGGAAAACAAAAATAAACAATGCTATTTATAGTCAAGCATATTTCTGAGAGTGGAGATATGCTCATTTTCTGTCATACAGTGGTACTCAGGATCATAGGATAGCTCAGCTTGGAAGGGACCTTGGGAGGTCTCTAGTCCAGCTTCTCGCTCAAAGCAGGGTCACCTACAACGTTAGACCAGGTTGCTCAGCTCTTCAGTGATTTGAGTTTAGCAGTAACTTTGTCTTATTCCAGGATCTAAGCTTGCCTTATAATTAATGACCTCCATCCTTCTCCTGATGAAAGGTTCTCCCTCTGGTTCCAGTGGAATCTTTAGCATTGTGGTTGTAGTGGTCTGTATAAATCTGTGATTTTGAAGTGCAGCCTTTGGACTACTTGTGGGGGTTAGAGTCTTCCTATGTGGCCATTACATGATCACACAGTTCTCAGAAAAATACAGTATTGGTCAAAGCAGTATTTTGGTCAAAACCTGTTACTTCCTGTGGATACACCTGCCACCACAGCAGGGCCTGTTCGAGAACCCTGGTCTGGACTGAAACTTGTATTTGCTTCCAAGCAAAGAAGGTTTTGCTGCTGCTCCACTATGTGAATATGACATTTATTAAGAGCTGTTTTTCCTTCTCTGGGGACTACCTGCACATTCACTTTCTCACCTTCATCTTTTCTCCCTAATCTTTTCTTTGATCCATACTATTATTGCCAACACGTTAACATTGGTATGGATTTTTTTTTTTCTGTAACACCTTAAACCAGTTTGATCAATCCTGTAAGACTTCCCATTGATCCCAGTGGGATGTAGTCACGATATTATTGACTCCTCTTCGTTCCCTTTCCAGTCTTCCTGGTCACATAAACTCCTGACTAGGCCTCAACTTACTTTGAATTAATTTCTTAGTCCCTGATGAGTACTTTTGAATTGAGACAAATCAGTACAACTCTAGTACAACTTCTAGTTGAACTGGTGACATATTAAACTCCAAAGTCTTTATCAGTCAGTCTTCTACCTTCATGTCAGTCTGTCTGCATGTCTGCAGTATCTCTATTTGCTAAAATCTTCCTCATATTGTTCTGGACAGAAGCAACTAATTTATGGTGGTGTTTGAGTCTTAGTTCTCTTGTCTCTGAGCATATGTAGAATAACATTTCCTACTGTGATTCATGTGGGGAGAAGTCTTACTATATCATCATGTAGTTGGTCAGATTCCTTGAGCTGTACACCAAACTGAAGTTCCAAGCCCAGGGTTTTCATAACTTTCTGTGGAATTAAATGAGGTTCACAAATCAGTTTTTCTCTGCTGTCTTTCTCCTCTTCAGCAATTGGTCTTGTCTCTGCCCTTATAGTACAGTCTTGGCATAGTGTTCAGAAAAGTCTTTTTGTAATTTGGTCCAGCTCTTTTAATTTCTTTGAATGAATATTTCTTTTAAAAAAATTCTTTTTGACAGCTGTATTGTCTCCTTTAACTCTTTCTCAGCCTTCATTTTTTTTTAACCTCTGTCTGTGTTTTGTTACTGGATAGCAAAGGTTCATGAATCCTTTGGTGTATAGTCTGAATTAAAGATGGTCTACCAAGTGGGAAGGTTAATTGAGCCTCTTTTTGAGAAAAAATAATTACAACTATCATAGAATCATTAATACTTAGAATTGTAGTTTTGGGCTGAGTTTGCAGGGGAAGGTGATGGGAAGATCTTTTGTCCTGGCCTCAGCTTTCCTGTTTTTCTGACAGTCTGTTTACTGCTTGTCTGTCTTTTGAGACATGGTCCAGCCCTCCATGTGGTAAGTTATTAGCCATGAACTTTATAAACACCACTGGAAGAACAACCATTTAATTAACCATGACCAACAATAACCATCAGTATTTAAATGATATCAGACTTCTAACAGCAAGAGCTGATCTAAATTGAATCAGATTTAGTTTGCTCTTTTAAATAACTTTTATGGTTACTTTTGCATGCCTGGGCGTAGCTATGGCCTTAAATTATTGCTTCTTTCTATCCCTACTTGAACTTCGTGATTTCAGCTCATAAGGCATCAAAGAAACTGATTCTTCTAGTAGTATCCTGTCCCTCTTGACATGATTTTCCTGATAGTAGTATCTCCTAGCAGGCTGTAGGCAATTGAGTTGGTTGCTCTGAAGTTGCTTGTGAGGCACAGTCAGATAGATTAATCTGGACTGTTGGTCAGTAGTTCATGATGTATTCCACTTGGTCAGTGTACAGCATCAAAATACAACTTGAAGAAATCAAGTATGGCTTTTTCCATGAAAAGCTGAATGTAGCTTATACCACTTACATCGATTAGCTAGTTTTCAGGTTTGTTTTCAGATGTGTTTCAGGTACATTTCATTTGAAATTTATAAAACTGAAGGTAGAGCTTTTGGGTTTTGTTGAAATCTTAACAATTTGTGTGTATTTGGAGGATACACACTCCACATTTCCAGTCAAAAGAGTTATTTGAAAAGTGAAACTTGAAGGGTTAATTTGCTATTAGTTTAAAAATTATTGCATTATTTATTATAATTTTGTGAGGTGATATTTATACTTTCTTTAAAATACTGTATTGTAAAATAACATACAGTGTAAATATTTGGTTTATGTGTATTAGAGTGTGTGGCTATAGCTCACTAATTGAAAACAAATCTGGTCAGGAACATTATTTGGATATTAATGTAATGGAGACATGACTTACAGATTTCATGAAAAACTATATTAGTCTATGTATATTTAATGAAGTATGCTATATTTTTCTTAGTATGAAAATCTCTTTATGGATGGACTATAAATCAAAAGCTAAGTTAGAGTCTTGAAATACAGCAGCCGTATGTTGCCATGGTACTGTAAGTCAAGATAAATGTTAAAGATAATAATGGATATGCATAATAAGGTGTAGCAAAACTGAACTAAGAACCTAATAGATTATTGAATCCCCCATGATTTTTACCACTTTTTCAACACTATTTTAAAATAGCACAGCTTGGTTATAGTATAAATTTTGTTTCTTATATCCAGTAATTCTTATGTTAGGACTGTGATTAGTGCTGCATACACTGAGAGAGCTAATGAATTTCTAATAGTGTAATTTTTGTCCTTGTCAGCTAATGATATGCTCAGATTTTTTTTTTTCTTTTTTATTTAAGGTGCAGTTAGTTAAGGATATTGTACTAATCTCAGACACACAATATCCCACTGATGATATTTCTCATTTGTCTAATTGTGTATGATAACGTTTTCATGTCGTTAAAGTATAAATTCTGTCTTGTCCCATGTATGGTAGCAAAGCCTAGTTTTGATCACCAAGTTCCATTTTTCCAATCTTTTATGTAAGATAAATCTTTTATGTATGTTTTTTGTATTTCTGTTTTTGGCATTTGATCTATGCTAATATCTGCTTATCATTTAAAGAGGGTAAAATGCTCTCTAATTAGGTGGTTGGTAAAATTTTGGTACTTTGGCTTTCTGTGTTGTTGTTAGCCATGCATAAAATGCTTTCCTATTGATCAGTGTAGAATAGCCAGGGTTTAAACAGCTGACATCTGCTTACTTTAAAAAAAGAAAAAGAAAACAGAATAACAAACCATTTCAGCCTAATCTACCTCAAATGTGTGCATGTAAATGGGGGTCCATCTATTGACCTGTATTCTTTTCAGTCGTGGATTGGTCCACACGGTTTATGAAACCAGGAGGGCTGATTTGAAATGCAGATGTCGAGACAGTGAACTACACCCTCCCCTTTTTCCTTTGCTGTATCTGTCAGGGTGAAAAATGGCTTGCACAAGGGTCAGTCACCCATACTCACTTAATTACTTTCCTTGGACCTACAGAACTGTCACAAGCTGTGGTGGATGCAGGCGCTGTTCCTCTTTTAGTGCTCTGTATCCAGGAGCCAGAAATTGCTTTGAAAAGGATTGCTGCTTCAACTCTCAGTGATATTTCAAAGCATTCTCCAGAGTTAGCACAGACAGTAGTGGATGCAGGAGCTATCGCTCACTTAGCTCAGATGATCCTCAACCCTGATGCTAAACTGAAGGTACATTTAACTATTTTTTTTTTTTTTTTAATCTCCGTTATACCAGTCATGACTTGATATTGAATCAAAGATGCTGATGTGCATATCTGTTTAGGAAGCTCTCGTTTTGGGCATTAAGAAAATGTGACTACATAGTTAGTGACAAAGAGTTCTGAACATATTCACAGATTTAGCTACTGGATAAAAACTGCTGCTCTGTGAGGAACAGCTAAACTAATCTTTAAAGTGAATAGTATGAATTTTTTTTTTAATTATATAGGATATGAAGAATGCATCATATTTTTAATAGATAAAATTTGCACAATTCAGTTACAAAAAAGGGGTTTGCATACTTAAGATTATACTATAAACCAGATTAATATTAAATGTATTATTGTATTTTAGAATGTACTATCTGATGTGAATAGATACTGTCAAAGGTTTAATCACTAGAGTTTAACTGACAAAAAATTGTTTCTTAATATTTCTGTCTTACTCTAACAGAAACAGAAGACAACATAAACATGCCACTTCAAACAGATAAAAATGCTTTAATATAAGATTTGACAGACCAAACTTAGGCAAATAAAGATACTTTCTATAGGTTTCACTGAATTTTAAATTGCAGTTTTAAATGGTGTGTGTATATATATATTTTCTTTTTTAATACATAGCAAGCTTGAATGGGATAAAACAAAGGAGAAACTTTTATTCAGGAACGAGCGAATGTTCTGTGCCATTATATTCGTGCATGAATTGACTCAGTGAATTGTAAAATAGCTGTAATTGTTTTCCCTATCCTGCTTTGTTTTCCTTCATGCAATAGATTTTTGTGTGCAGGAGGAGTGTGTGTTGTACGATGTTTGTATACTATTGATTTTATAACAATTTTTGTTTACTAGCGTCAGGTGCTGTCAGCTCTAAGCCAAATAGCAAAGCATTCAGTGGATCTTGCAGAGTTGGTGGTTGAAGCAGAAATTTTCCCAGTTGTGCTCACATGCCTGAAGGACTCAGATGAATATGTCAAGAAAAATGGTGCAACTTTAATTAGAGAGATAGCAAAGCATACGCCTGAGGTAAAACCTGGAAAATGCAAATACAAGGTCATATCATTAGATTTTACACTTTAAATAAAACACAGGATTATTCTGTCATTTGCTTTTCGAAAGGGAGGGCAAATAGCTGTTTGGCATGTTCATTGGAAAAATATGGAAATGCTTGCTGATATTATGAGATGTGTATTGAATATGAATTGGGTTAGGAAACTGGGAATCGTATAATGTATACCTAGCTACTTAATTCCATAAGATATCTGCACAGAGAGGGACTTCTAGGCTGACAGTATTGTCAGTCCTAGATATTAAAAATACCATGAGAAAAGCCTCACAGAAGTCATGATACCAGCTAATAAATGACAAGATCATCCTATAACAATAATAGATGGTGTGTGTCTTTTTAAAAATCTTCTGGGGTGCTGTGATCATGTTTTAATTATTTTTCCAATGACATTGAAGGTCAAAAATTCTCTTATTTATTATTAAACTGATAGTAGTTTCTTTTATTAGCTTGAGTTTGTAATTTGAGCCTCAGCATTTGCAGTGTTTTTTGCCAATAATTGATACAGGAAGGTGAGGATGTTTGGCAATGTCAATACAAAATAAATAGGAAAAACAAATAATTATAACTATGTTAATCTGTCAGACCATAGGGATAATTAAAAGGCTCTAAATATGACTCTGGAATTAAATGCAAGCAATGTATTTGTGGAAGACACTAATGCTGAGTGCAGCCATTTCAAAATCGTGATACTAGCTTAACAATTGAGAAGTGTTTAAACATGAATATTGTGCTGTTTCTTCAGCCTGCTAGTCTTTAAGCTGCTGGTGATTAAAGGTTACAGTCTCATCATGTTTCCTGCTTTCTCTCTGCACCTCATGAGCAATGCAACTTCACTTTCTCAAAAAAGTGAAGAAATTATCCTTATGGAAGGGGTGCAGTAGAGTTGGAAGCTGGAAGCCAAACTCACAGGACTGCAGGTAAAATCAGAAGAGCTACTGCCTCGGGATCTTCCGTGCAAGGGGAAATGGCCATTCTAGCATCTCTCCAAAGGAGCTGTAGGAAGTATCTTAGTGACTCCCAGTGGGAAGTCACAATCCATGTTTTGACTTCAGAGTGACAGTGATCTCTGTCCATCTCTGAGCAACTCTATTCAAGCAACACATGTTGCAGCAGAGACAGATTGGCAAATGGTATTTCTAGAGGAGCTGGCTGTGTCAGTCATGTGAGCGTTGTGGCTGCTGGCTCTCAGCTCCCTATCTGAATATGCAGTAAAATTCATGTGAAGGTCAGGATCTGGGGGACTTGCGGTGGGGCCTGGGGGTCACAGCACCAGGGAGTGTGTCTGTGCAGGAGCTCTGTGCATCCAAGTGCACATGGCTGTGCCCAGACATAGGACTTGGTCGTCACTGGCTGCAGTTCACAACCGTGTGAACAGTTTTTCCTAAGTAATAACTTTAAATTTTATCTAGCCGCTTCATGAATAAAGCGATCCCCTATTAAAGCCTCTAAGGCAACGGTGGATTTCTTGTTTATAGAAATCAACTGGATTGGAAATCCACGTGGCTTGGTTTTGTTAATTTTATTTTGACTTTTAAGAACGTGGTGGTTTTTTTTTTTTTGGAGTCTTTGGGAAAAGTGCGATATAGCTAACAAGATAGAAGAAAATAATGATAACATGAAATTATTTTAATTTCTGTACATTGTTGATATCATGCATACTCTCCCGCTGTCCCACAAGTGATGCGAGAAGTGATACCTGTTGGAAAGAAACATGCTGCATAGCTTGATTATCGTTTATAACCAAGGCTATATAATTTGGCATTCTGGGGAAAACTCCATTGCCCATCAGGTGTGTTCCCTGGACACCTCCCTCGGAGTACCCTAACATAGCAGAATAGTGTAGTCTAAGTTGGTTTTGTGCATTCGTGACAGTTGTCTTTGGCTTCGTGCCTCAGTGGGGGGATCCACAAAGGCTTTTGTGCTGCAGAGGTTATCTAGAATGCAGGTGAGAGGAGGAGTGGGCCTTTCCCTCTGTCCCTGCGCAGGATGTATGATGTTGGCTTGGGAATGAGTGGGCACTAGTACGAAAGAATGTCTAGCTCAGTAGGTGCATCTTTAAGGGCATTCATGTATTAGACTGTTGTTTGCACATTTCTTTGGTGTAAACTAATGGAATTGAGAGTATGTCATTCCATGCTATACAGCATGAAGAATTCAGAGTCCTGATTTCCTTGAAGTAAAGTCAATCAAAAACAGAGCAGCAAACCAGCTTAATTGCTGAGAACTTAATGCTGCACTTAGTGCCCAACAGTCTGTATGATACATCGCTCTTATTCCGGCTTTATTTTGTAAATCAGGAGCAATACATTTAAAGACTTTTTCTAATGTAGTGCTTTATGCCTGTTGATACTTCGCAGTATCTAATCTCTTCTGTTTATCTTTTCAGCTTTCACAGCTTATAGTAAATGCAGGTGGAGTTGCTGCTGTGATTGATTGTATTGGCAGCTGCAGAGGGACTGTCAGACTGCCTGGCATCATGATGCTCGGTTATGTAGCAGCTCATTCAGAGAACCTGTCAATGGCAGTGATTGTCTCCAAGGTTAGCTATCACTTTGTCATCTTCCTTTAATTCTTCAGTGGTATTCTGAGAAAGAGATACAAATTAACACAGGCAGAGAATGAATTTTGGGACAGAATTATATACTTGCTGTTGATGAATGCACTTTCTCCAAATATTGCTGCTTGCTATGGCTGAAATTTGGTGGTAACCTGATCAAAGTGTAACTTTATGAAGTTGAACCTTTTATAAAATGTCCTGGATTAGTTTGTGAGCGTCCATTTGTATTACAGTATATGATTTTTCTGTGTTGCAATTGCATGGGTACAGAAAATAAGTCAGTGAATTTCTATGGTCTGTTTCCTCTTAAAATAAATATTTGTGGCTACATCAGACCCCTTGTTGAAGCAAGAATGTTTAATGGCACATTCTTCATTGCACTAGCATGACTCTGCTAGTACTGCTAGAGTAGCCTTGCAACAGAAATCTTCAGACTCTGAAAAGACCTCAGTTTCTAATGTAGTATGGGTTGATTCAGTTGTGCAAGTGACGTTTCAAATGAGATAAGCTATACATTTTCAAATTTAAATAAATTCTGCTGGGCAATGATATAGAAGGGAGAGAATTTGTGATAGTCACAGTGGGTGAAATTAGTGTCTGACATAGTACTCTGATGCGAGCGATGCTAACTAATGACAGGATGAAGGAAGTAATTTCACTGAGCATTGTTGGCTCATTTTCACACTATGTCAGTCATTTAAAATGTACTGTAAGAGTCGAAACAACAAAACAATAAAAATGGAGGAACAGGAATGTCTTCTAGTAGGACTGCAAGTTAAAGAATGGAAATTGCTACAACGTAAATTGATAAGTATGCAGGGAAGGTAGGAGTGATCAAAAAACCCACAACTCTTCTGCATTTGAAAACAAAAGAAACATACTTTTTCCTTGCCTTCTCTGGAGGCCTGTCTTCTCTGGATATGTCTCTCTCTCCACTTTCAGGGATGCCTACAGCAAATATGCTTCTTCTATTGAGTGCTTGACATTAAGTGGGATGAATCCAGGATTAAGTTCATGAGGAAGCACCTAAGTGATAAATTTTTGAAGGGTAATAATGGTTGCTACTGTAACTGAATGGGAATGTAGTGAGAGATTTTTATAGGGATCTGTGCAAACTCTCATGAAATTAAGGATTTTAATGAATGATCCACGAAAGAAACCCAAATAAACCCAAAACTCATTAAAAAAATTTTTGCTTCAGGGGAGACTAAGCTTGTGGAGTGGTACATAGTGCTGAGAGCAGGGCTTGATAAACTGCAACCATCTGAAAGAAATGCACTGTGGCATAACCACGTGTGGTTACACATCTACGATGTTACGATGTAAAGTGATAGCTCCGTTCCACAGTACTGTATCCTGGAAAGGATGAATTTTGAAAAATGATTTTTGGGGTCATATTGGACAAACACTTCATTGTGGTCTTCTGCTGCAGTGCAGTGGAAAAAAAAAAAAAAAAAGACAATTCAGTCCTTTGCGGTATTAAAGAGCAGAAGGTGAAGCATTATTGGAAAAGACAAGTTAATCTATCTGTAGTACTAGTGCCTATAGTTCTGTTGCTGTATTTGAAAAGGATCTTGAAAAAAAACAACCCGAAGAGTGTGCAGAAAAGAGTAAAAAATGATCCATGAGATGGAGAAAAAGGTTTTCTAGTTAGAGGTTTAGTAGCCTTGCCTTACCTAAAGTGGCATGAAATTGTTCCTATTGAAGTGTCGTGGCATAAAATACCAGCTACTAAGTAGCTCTGTAATCCTGTGGAGAAAGGATAAAGACTGTGACTCCGAACCAGAAGAACTTCAGTAACAGCTGAATGCCAAGTGAGGTATTCTCATCTCTTGATGTCTTCAAATCAAGAACTGAAACCTTTCTAAAGTGATTGGACAAGTCAAACATGAACTACTGGACTCAAGAAGAGGTTGATAAGTTGAAATTTAGTGCTATGGATTAAAAAAAAAAAGACTCAATGATTGAGCCCTTCTGGTCTTAAACTGCTTTCATAGATTCATAAACACTCAAATTCTTTTATTTTTAGTCTGGCAAAACTGAAGCCTTTACTCTTAGTACAGCCTGAATTGTCATGTATGCCTTGAATTTGTGTGTTAGCTCAAACTGCCTTCTGACTTAGAACATTGAATCTGTTGCTCTCTTTCTTTAACTAGATTAAGATTTATTAAAAATTCTTGTCAGTCATGATGTTGTAAATATGTGACACCACTAGCACATGTTCTCTTATGGCTTATTTTAGAAGAATGTAAATAGAGAAACATTTTCTAACAATCTGTATCAGTTTCAAGTTGTCCTTCCCTGGCGTAGATTTGTGAAGGTTGTGCTTTTGATTAATGCTACAGGGAGTACCACCATTGTGTGCCTGCTTGATAGAAGAACATGAAGATCATATTAAGGCAGCAGCTGCTTGGGCCTTGGGACAGGTTGGAAGACATACTCCTGAGCATGCACGTGCCGTTGCAGTGGCAAACGTGCTACCCACACTGCTTGCTCTGTATATGGACACACGCAGTTCAGAAGATCTCCAAATGAAAGCAAGTATATCCGTAGTATCTGCAGTATGAGATATTTATTGTAATCAACAGGTGTAAGTGCTTAAAAACTACTAATTTGTATGTGCTTTTATTGCTATTCATTGAGTCTCAGATTTCCTGGGTGCAGGGTGTCTGAAGGCTGTGTGTCATTTATTAGGACTGGCCTGTCCTAATGGGTGTGCATATGGTGCATACCAAATCATATGGTACAGTCACAGCAGCCTAGTCCCTCATTTTCTTCCCAGTTTAGATCAGAGTTGCATACAGCCATAAATGATATAACTTCTTGTGAGTGACTAATTACGTACTTTTTATTTTTTGGAAGTATAAGCTCTTGTACAAAATATTATAGTCCTTGTAGTAGATTTGCTTACATTTTTATTATTATAATAAAACTGTAACAAATACTCAAAGCTCTGCTCTTGAAAACATGCAGCTGTTCATGTTTACTAGCTCCTACACAAGGAAGGCTCTAGAGTTGCAGTTTAGTAAAGTGTATTTTTGAGTGACAGTAAGTGAACCAACTGAAGAGTATAATATGACAGGATATGGTCTCCCGTGTTGTACTATGCTTGTGTACATTCCACTGAAGTATAAAGTTCCAGATCTGTAAAGTAACTTTTGTATAGTCATTTTCAATGGTCACCAAAGTATCAAGGCCAAATTAGTTGTACCTATAATCCTACCCAAGAAGGTCATTACTGCTTGTAGCAGTCAATATTGAGTCTGTTTTCAGCAACTAAGCACTGATGGACAACTGTTTCACACTCTCTTCCCCTCCCTGCCTGGACAGTAGTGCTATCCCAGACTAGCAGACTCTCCTAGTAAGCCACTTCTAAAATACAATCTTTTAAAATGTGTTTTGATTTAGGTTTCTTACTATATTACAGTACTTCAATTTACTTAAAGTATCTACTCCTGCTTCCATTGTAGTCAAGGAAAATTGACTTACTTTGACCATAGATAACAATAGGAATATGATGGTAGGTTTTGAGGTTTAATAAATCTAAGTAGAAAATTGATTCTTCATTAAGTGACCTGATAGATATAATAGTTTTTATTCAGAAATGCTCTTTGAGAATTCTGATCAATTTGCTTTTTTGATCAGACTTCAGTGATAAATAACAGGAATTCTCGTTGTTTTCATTGATGTCTTACTAGAAAAATTTTATTTTGCATTTCAATAGACTAAAAGAGCCTTAAAGAACATCCTTCAGAAATGCACGTATCTTCCAGCACTTGAACCATTGCTGCATGATGCGCCTCCCAATATTATGAAACATATTGTTGGGCAGTTTAGTAAGGTAAGAAAAGGCTCTGCTTGAGAAGTAATATGTTAATTGTTTTCCATTTAGCAAGGAAGCTGTCTTTCCAAAGATGAGGTCTCTCTAGAGGTCTCAGTAGTTTTCTCAGGATCCTGAAGCATCCCCTGCAGAAGCAGTTTGGAGCATCCCATTCTTTTGTCTGATGAAGCTGGATACTGTTTCATCTGGAACCTGCCATAATTCATCCTAAGACTGGGAAAACAGTTGCTTATAAGCAAGGTGTTTTTTTCTTCCTTGCCTGTTGAGATTAAGTGGAATATTAACTCACGTGCAAATATTTTCACTGAGCCAATGTATCATATAAATCCCAGTCATATCTGTTTTAGATAAAGTACAAAGCTGTCTGTACAGGAGTGACTTAAGTCAGGTATTTTACAATAGTCTAGAGTATAAAGGCTTCACCACTTTTATCCTCATTAATTTTCAGTCTCAATTAACTAAGTGTAAAAATCCCAAATCTTTTCTCATCCCTCTCAAAATTTGAAACTGCTTGTTGTTAATTACATTGTTGATTTGAGTGCAGCATATGTGAAAAGTGTTACAGTTTAATAAAAATATTTCAAATTATTTAATTAATTGCTAAGTAATCAGATGTCTACAATGTTCACCAGCTGTTGGGAATCCTGCTCAACTATAGACTGTCTTTTGTGCAATACTCTGCAGTGTAATCTGTTAGCAGGGGGTACCAGGCTCTCTTGGTGAGACGTCCTTTCTGGAAATGGCCAAGCAAAACACTCTTGATACTCAGTTCTGATTATCACAGATCTGGAAGCACTACTGTTTGTAGTGCAGATTCCCGATTACATCGCCACTCTTAGGTTTGTCTTGTCTTTTTGCTAAGTCTGTACAAAGATTGGAGATTTGCGCAGAGTCCAGTGCCTTTTGCTTCTGTGTGCTGACTGGAGCTATTAATGAGTTGAGTGCATAGTAATTGGTTACCCAGTGTATAGGTTTGAATGTTGTTTGCTGTTGAAGTGGCTTTGTACCCTTCATATCAGCTGATGGTTTTTTTTGTTTCGTTTTTCTTCTTCTCCCACGTTGTATTAAACAAACTATACTTGTCTGGCATTTGCTCTTCTGAAATACATATTTAAAATTAGGTTCTCTGCAGTAAAACCATGTTTCTCTCCTGTACCATAGCTTGGGAATTTCCTAGTCTTAGAGCTGTGGTGTATTCCTTCTGTGGGCTTATTTATAGCACAGTGAAAGCCTTATTTCCGAGTTGTGCTTCAGAGTGGGATGCTATCTGTTCTTGGTGCTGGACTGTGTCATTTTAGCATTCTCATTTTCGGGTTCTGTGCAATTCTGTGCTGTCTTAGTTTGGACTGGGGGAAGGGACAGTGTCTCAGAGGTGCTGTCTAGGGCCTCTTCCAAGAGAGTTTTCTGCTGTTTTATCCAGCTTGGGAGCCACAGTGTGGAGGAGGAAGGCAGGGAAAGGGCCATATCCTGTCTCCTTGCTAGTTCCTCCTTGGCAGTTCTTGTTGTGGAGATACATGGAAACAGCCGTCTTTTCAGTTCCCACAACAAAATGATCACAGTTGTTCCTGACACTTCTATGGAGCATATAATAGGGAGAAGTCTGTATGCTCCCCTGTTTTTTCTTTACTTGTCTGTTGATTTTTTACAGCCTAGAGGGACCAGAGAAATGAAGGCTGTTTGCTTATATGTATGGCAGAAATCTCACCCTTCTTTTCCTTCATCCTTTTAGGCAATCCCTTCCTCCTTTGAGGCTCTTGTTTTATACTGTGATACAGTCAAATTTATGACCAGTGTGAAGGCTTATAAAATGCTTTTGCCCCCATAGTATGTAAGTCTCAGAGTTGGTTTTAAACCCATCTGGTTTTGTTGTAGATGCAGCTGACGTCTTGCATTATCTCTCTTTTTTTTTTCTATTTTTTTTTTTTTTAATATTATTGCAGCCCTGTGGGCCTATGGACTACATGCTGTCATTCTGCCTCGCCTGGCCCAGCCCCCACCTCCCTCCCTCCCTCCCTCCCATCCTCTGGACAGAGCTGCATATTGGCATCAGTCAGGGAGCGCAGAATGTATTGTCTGATCATTTCTGCTTCTCATCCCCTTTGGCTGCAGAAACTTCACATTTTTGCTTTGTGTGTGTGTTTGTAAAAGGCTTCCATGGCTACCCAGTGTGTTGTAGGATTTTAATATCTAGGAATTTAATAGTAGCATGTAATCCTTCAAGGCTGTATTGTTCACTTGCAACAATTCTCAGTATTGTTTTCATGCACTAATCTATACTAGATCATTATAGTGATATAAAATTCTGCTCTACAATTAAACTGTGGGAATTAACATAAAAGACTTGAATAACTTGGTTTAAGTGGAACAGATGCTGTTGTTATTCTGTGTTAGTGTTCTGGTTTTATTATCTAGGAAATCTCCACAATCTTATTGTCTCCATAGGAATAATTCAAGAAATATTATTTACGTAAAGATAAATATTCAATTCATTATTTTTATATGTTATGTATTAAAGTACATGTTGAATTATGGTAAAACCGTAAAGGGCTGGTTTATGATTTTTTTTTCCTGTACAACTGGGTGTTAAAATACAGTAGTCATTACAGATGTTGTACCTCTGATGTTCCATTTTAGCTGTCCTCTGAATTAAAAACAGATAAGCAATATTTGAGTCTAGTAGCATAGAGATTCCTTTAAAAGAAAATATTACTTTTTTTTAATATACTTTTCTGTGTGTAGGTGTTACCACATGACAGTAAAGCACGTCGTCTCTTTGTAACAACTGGTGGACTTAAAAAGGTTCAAGAAATAAAAGCAGAACCTGGGTCACTTCTTCAGGAATATATCAACACTATTAACAATTGCTATCCAGAGGAAATAGTAAGGTAGGGAAAATGAAATTAAAAAAATTCACACTTATAACATTGTTAGATGTCTTTCACAGGAACAGCACAAAGCAAGGATTTGAAATACTAATTTAACTTCTACATGAATTTTGTTTTTAATAAAACAGCATAATGTTTGGCTAACTGCCCCAGTGGTAACACAACTGCTACACACATACTTTTGAACACTTTCTCTTTTCTGATTGTTTTTGGAATCTAATTTCTTTGTCTGTAAACAAAGTCCAAATAATAAGGCTGTTGCTGGAAACTGGGAAGAAAAGTCAGCCCTTCACCACCCAGACAGACTCTGAGGCTTGAGCACAGCTCCTCTCATATTAATGAATGTCTGTGGGAAGTTTAGTTTATCCTGGTAATTTATTTATGGATTACTCAGGCTCCAAAATACAGGTATTGGAGAATCTTTGGTTGCATCCCTGACTTGCCTAAGAGCCTGTCTGAACTAGTGTATTGAGAGGCTCCTTTGAAACTTCCTCTGATGTACAGAGGGTCCAGGGGCTCTCCTGCACAGTTGCTTTGCCCACAGCTGCCCTTCCTCCCTCAGCCTCATCATGAGGCTTAAGTGTTATATAAAAGGACCATACACCAGCTGTCTGCACCAAGTTGAACTTTGCCCTTAATGAATACAGAAACACTATTAAATAGCTTACAGTCAAAATGTCACCATCCTAAATTGTAATAATGAGAGAAATGCCCTCCTAGATTCTAGATATCCATTTACCAGTCCTTCACTCCATCAACACATCAAAAGGATGTTGTACTCGTGCACTCCCTCTACAGGCTCTGAAAATCTGCATCATCAATTTTAATTATAGCAACAGAGTTCTTCAGCTAATAGTAGCTACAAACTAAGTCACACAAAATGATGCCCTGTTTGTCTCCATAAAGAAAAGCCAGTGGCTGTCAAATGGGTAAAAGCAAAATCATAAAGAAACTTTATTCTGCAGCTTATACTTCAGAAGGAAAGAGGACATTTGCTTATGCTTTTCTGGATATAATTAATGTTTCTTTGTTACAGCTGGTTTTTTCCCTGTAAATGAAACAAGGTTACTCATATAGGCTGGCTTGTAATAAAGAAAAGGACCCCTTTGAGCATCTCCTGCTTGCCTCTTTGTGCTGCTGCCTGATGTTGGTTGTGCTGCCTGAGGCACAGCTGCTATAATAGACTCCAGCTCTGGGTTTGTCCTGGAGACCTGTTATTTTAGGCTGTTTGCAGACTGAATATAATAATGCATTGAAAAGTTAGCTTTACAATTGGAGAACTAATGAGAGTTTTAAAAAGAATTATGTTGTGCAGAAATCATCCAGAAAATTAAAATCAACAAGGTAAATGGATCTTCCCTTCAGTGTGAAAACATTGGGGATTTCTACTTGAATACATTTTAGGCATGCGTTACATGGAACTGTGTCCCGCTCTCTATAAAGACAGTTAAAGCTTCCAGGGCTCAGAGATGACAATTTACATGCCTGCAAAACCAGAAATAGTACTGAGATGTATGTTTTTAGAATAACACAGTAATAAATTTCAGATACCCTTTACCTGGAAAACAAGAACTAAATGCAGCTTTGGTGATGCTTGGATATTGGAAGCATGTAGTTGGTCCATTGTGGAAAACCAACTGAATGACAGCAGGACAATAATGGCACCATAGAGTCCTACTCTAATGAAAACCTATTGGACAATCTCTGTCCTTGAGTTGAGAGAGAAGGTCATTGTGATAAATTTTTTTTGTTCCAGAATCAATGTCTCTCGCATTGATGTAGACTTCACATTAGGTTTGGGGTGTGTGCTTATGTTTGATGAACAGCAGTAGGCTATTGTCATCTGCCAGCCTATGGTTCTATGTAAACTCATGCTTTTTTATTAAAGGCCGTAATTTCAGAAGACGTTAACATCTACGTTTCTCAGTAAAGACAATGCTTATGGCTGGGGAACCTATCTAAAAACTAGCCACTTACCTACATGCCCTAAAAGAAGCTAACTATATTTTTGAAAACCTGACTTCCAAGTATAAATGATAATGTAAGTTGAAAAGCAGGCTCTTAAAACATTGTAGGGGAATAACTGTAGAGTTCCTCGAGCACTGTTTAATGCTAGGATTTTTTTCCTGATCAATAGAGATATGTATAGTGTTTAATTACTTAGCACAGAACATGCCTTGCAGTCTAATGCACAAACAAAATGTTTCTCTTTCAGGTATTACTCCCCTGGATACTCTGAGATACTTCTGGAAAGGGTGGAAAATTACCATCCAGTTTTATAAACTTCAATTTTTTATTAGACCTGTATTTCACATTTATGCCTTTATGACTGTAATACAAATACAGCTGTTGAAACTCTTGTTTGATTCTGAAATCTCCTTCTACTCTTTGAACTACTGAAAGAGCTCACCAATTCCAGTAAGCTATATTTTGTTCTTTATAAACTTGTTTGTTGCTAAGTTTTTGTTCCTTTTTGTTTTTCTCTAACATTACTACCAGATATTGCAGCACGGGATTTCAGGCTGGGGTGATGATTTATCACAGAAGCTTTTTTAGAATCAGTCATTTCCTTTTCCTTCCACAAGAAAGGTTTTTTATTATCTCATTCAAATTTTACCCTTCTCAGTACTGTAAGCATTTTCCCGTTGCATATTGTTTAGAGCTTCCCAAGTTTGCTGAGGGGGAAAAAGCTGGCCCCTGTGCTTTTTCTAATTATGGAATCCATTCTGCACTGAGATATCTCCTACTTCTACATTTCAGAAAGTAAAGTGATGTGATTTTGCATCTCCAAACATGTTAGTAGCTGCTAAATAAAGAAATAATCAGATCTGATGATGATAAAAGAGCTGAATTCTGCATGATATGATAGTGTGGTGGTCCTTGCACGGTATGTAATACATCTTATGCAAAAGTCCTTATAATTAAGGCAGGATTCACTGTGGAGAGAAGGAGCAATACACTGTGTGGTGTATGCATTCTTGTTCCTCCTGGAAAGGACAGAGTGAACTTAGAACTTCCACGGGCACAAAGGGAAAGACCCTCAGAGGTTTGGCCTCATTTGGGTCAGCAGTGAATTTGTGTGGTTCAGAGGAGAGGAAAATTGCTTGCCTGCAGGAACACTGTTAGCAAAGTTCTGAGCACATTCAGAGGAAACCTGAGGATACTTGAGTCCCACTGATTTGAGTGATGGGACTAAGGCTGCTTAGTACTTATTCTTGAAGAGCTGAAATTGCTGCAGAATTGAGTTGAAACACATTTGGAACTTAGTCTTGAAGTTACAGATCACAGTGACGTGGAAGTTATTGGAGGTATGTGCTCTTGCCTGTCTGTAGAACATCCTGGAAATATTTTTGCTGCCTTATGTAGAGTGAAAAGACTTTTACGTTCTGCTTGCTCCTCTGTTGTACTGTAGCAGCAGGGAGCAGCATACAGCCCTTTAGTATTCCTTAGTAGGTAACTGTCATTTACCTTTTTTTTGTTCTTCTAACCATTTTTGTTTTCCTTGTATGCAACAGTTTTTTGTG